CATTATTGAGTACAGCAGCAGGTCAATTTCAAAAAAGAACGAAAAAAGAGATGAATGTATGCATGAGAACACATTGGTACAAAATTCAGAAAACAGCGTTATGATACCTGCTCGTATTTCACTCTTTTTTGAGCCTGTTTCATTTCTTCTTCTTGCATCTTCTCCGCCTCTTGAATTTCTCTCTTCTGCTTTCTTTCCTGAGCTTCCATATCAATCTCGTATTGCTGTGTCATAAGCTAAAACAAAACGACGATAGCAATGCAAGACATATCGCTTCTTCAGAGTTTCAGTCAAATGAATTCAAAAGTTACACCTATCTATAGCTTTTGCAAAACTGTGAATAATGGACCACACTATCGAATGGATACTAATCACCTGAGGAAGACGCTAAAAAGGCCTTATTCTGATAGAGTTGGAAAATACATTGCGATAACAAAAAAATACCAACACTACACTTCCTGAATATCCCTTCAATTTCATATTTTGCTTCATCATATTTCGTGCTCATAAAGATTCTGAGAAGCAGCATGCAAATTACTTGGAACGTTCTCTTACAATAATTAGACCAGAAGCAGTAACACAGAGCAGAATGCTCTCAGTTATCTACAGAGCATTATTTTCAATCTAACGACTACGAATACAATGGTGTTCAGAATAGTATCACAACAACACACTCTAGATATTTGATCACAAACCTTGTCCACCAGACAGAAACTCTATCTCTTGCTGCATATCCGTGGTCCAACTGGCTTTCTCGCCTTTCTCGGAGAGAACGCCGATCATTATTCTGAGCCACACAGGAAGGCTATAAGGAAATAATTGTTTGTGATTACAACAACAAATTCACAGTTTACTCCTACATAAGACTTTGACACTCGTGCGCGAGTTGTACTCTCGTTTAACAGTTTCCGGAGGTATCCCCAGCACTACCGCCCCTGTTCAGCTACCACTCTTTCTGCGACACAAAGTATCAATTCTGTCAGGGACCGTCAAAAACCTCGGAAAACTGAGACGCGAGTTCAGTTTCCGCCTGAGGCTTTCCAGAGCTTCCATATCAATCTCGTATTGCAGTGTCATAAGCTAAAACGAAACGACGATAGCAATGCAAGACATATCGCTTCTTCAGAGTTTCAGTCAAATGAATTCAAAAATTACACTACTTATAGCTTTTGCAAAACTGTGAATAACGGACCACACTATTTTTTTTACTATACTGATTTTATACCAAGTAGCCTTGCAGGCACTTTCTTGATTAGTTCACTTGCAAATGACTAAGTATCCATCACAATGGCTCACATGCTGTTATTACAATTATCAAATCCAATTAGATCCAAACATTTTCAAGATTAAATTGATGAGGATCAGATGAAATTCTTTTCATTTAACCGCTTCTAGCGGTGGAATGATGATGGTATGTAAAAAGAGTACTGTGCAAAATGAGCGTCAGTAGTGTAACGGATAGAGCACGCGCTCCTGGAGAGAGTGAGGTGCGGGTTTTAATCCCGCCTGACGCGAAAGTTGGGCACATCACTCTACATCAATGGGTAAATTGATAAAGTTCTCGTCGTTGATCAATCCTCTAGGAATGCGCCTTGAATTCTTCAATTAGTATCGTGCGAGGTGAATGAATGCATGTCTGGCCTGCGACGACTCACGGAGGCCTATCGATGTATCAAGCCAGCACTGCTACTTCCCAGACAAGTCTCGTACCAGTTCACTGACCCCAAAGAAATGCAAAGCTTAGTGCTCCTTAGGCGCAGGATCGAACTATTGACCACGTCTGTGTTGCGAGGGACCTCTATTCACCGTGCCACAAGCGCCAGTGCTGCTATTACAATCATCACATACAATGATAAAATTTTCAACATTACTTTTAGAAGACAAACGAATGTAAAAATAGTTTCCGAAAACTATTATAGGCTCGAAAAAGATCACTTTACCGCTTTTTTATGTTGGAACTTCTTCTCTTATTGCTCCACCAAGTTAGCTCCCTCCAGCTGTAACTCCTGCTTCTGTCGAAGCCCTTCACGTTGAAGACGCCGTAGATCTTGCAGCTGTTGCTTCCTAGAAGATCACAGTGCATAAACCCCAATGAACATAACCTTTCATTGAAATGATCTAAAAGTCGCTCTTCACTCAGTAATTTAATGCCTAACGCCTCACCGTTGCAAAATGTTTTTTCGGATGTCAAACAACGTTTCACAGTCGAACTCATTCACTAGTGCGTTTCGAAGTGAGAACTAGTTAATTAATCCTATTTCAAAGCGCAGCCGAGAAAAAAAACCCTATACTACGACAAAGCTGAAGACCGTATGTTTAACTTTTCGACAAAAATAGTAACGAAGAGCTAATGTCCCACAACTATTGGTCTTTGTGTCGCGAGTACGACTGAGGCTAGATGAGGACGAATGGAATTAGCCGAGGTGTCCACCTAACTGTCTAAGTTGGTGGACGAGAAAAGGGACTACTAATGACATAAGTGATTTCCATAGCCTTACACATTTTATGAATCCATCCATCTACTACCCAGTGTTCATACAAGCAAACAGCGAGCCATGAGGTTATGAACTGTTCAGTATGAGTCTGATAAGTAGCCGCTCAACCGAGCGAGAGATATACTGAGAAAGAACTAACGAATTAGGCAAATTTCTAAGAATCGTTCAAGTAAGCAGGGAGTACACAGTCTAATCAAAACACATATACGTGTATAGAAGCTCATCTCAGTACTCCTAAAACCCGTAGAAACCTAACCTTAAATTTTGCTTACATTTGAAAGAACTATGATATCACTTCAAGTTCCATGCTACTCCGCCATAAGAAACAAAAAGCGAGATGTCCGATATACATTAGTTGAACAACGTGATCCTCCATATCCTAAGAGAAAAGACCACCTTGCGAAAAGCCGACAACCTGAACATTGCCGCCCAGTTCTTTTCAGTCCATACGAGTTCTTTTCTCCTCCCTTGGTCATACTCCGTTCTCAACACTAGTGTCATAAGAAGATCAGTATCGATAGTCAAGTCGTCCCAGCAACTGATGGGGGTGGTGAGGGCGAATCAGATGTATGCTTTCGTCAGTTGAAGTGAATAGTTCTTTTGTGAACTTATCGTCGGATAGCTCGATGCGTAAGGAAGCTCAAGGAGAGCGATTACAAGATTGAATAAGTCAAATTAGGAGGAGAAACATGCGAATGGTAACCGCCCTTTAACAGTTCCACTCGGAACATGTTTCTTTATTTGAATTCATCTTTCAAAAAAAAAATTGGCGATGGATATGGTGGCCAGCCACACTAAGGCACAACAGACACAACACACTCCTACAAAGAGAAAATTTCTACATTCTACACATCCAGGGTTGCATAATTTTCTATACGTTTGCTAAACGACGCAACCACAAGACGGAGGAGAACTTCTATCATCAACCAAGACGAAAAAAACTAAGCTATATCCAACAAGATCCTTCAAATGACGTTCTACGCACATGGGCAGACTATGGAAGAATCGATCGAAGACCATTAGCTGCTTAAGAAATTATTTAAAACTAGTGCTCAATTCACGTCGGTTTCTCAGAAGAAAAGAACAAACCACATCCCCACTACCCCAAAGAAGTTGCTTGGAAAGAGAAAGTGGAGCCTGATCAACCTAATACAACACAAATATAACGATTACAAATTAATGTCAATTGCTGAGATATTACTGAAGGATCTACATAGCAAAGGATAGAAGAAGCGGGAGAAGCAAAAAAAAAACGATTCTGAAAAACTACCGAACACCTGCGAATATAATAGTGTACGTTCAGCTGGCAGCTCTGATCAACGAAGATGAGATTACTACAACCTCCCGATATGACACAGAATTGATTTCCTATTCCTCACTTGCCATCCTGTAGACTAAGATCTCCAATGCTGCAAAATGACCCAAGACATCTCCCTTGAATGTACCAGATGTGACAGACTCAAACGGAACAGCTTCAGAACACAATAAATCCCCGCCGACTTTTTCAAATAAGAAAACCGCAATCTATTTGTGATTGCGGCAACCCATATAGCATCACCAACTAACAGAATAGTGCCTGAGCATGGGAAAAAGCCAGTACGGC